ATATATATATTTAAAGTACTATGTGTACTAAGCTACACATTTAAAATACATGTGTACTAAGCTACACATTTAAAGTAGATGGGATAATGCTTCATCTCTGAAAGTTTAATATTGCACATACATATTATTCTGATTGACAGTGAGACTAGGTTATCGGTATTTTGGACCATTATCTGAATAAATCCTTGTTAAAAGTTACTGAGGTGCAGGCAGGAGACCCAAGTGTACCCTTTGGCTTTAAACAGGGTTTGATTGATGAATACAAAGAATGACAAAGTCCAAATTCTAAGGAGATAGAAATATACTAAATATTATGTTAAGATCATATTTAGAGTTCATTTAAAGGTTTATTAGATAAAACCATACTGCTCAGACACCATTGTTGTCTGTATTATATCTGACACAGAAGATATCTAACATAAGCTAACATAACAGCAAATGTCTAAGAGAACATAATCTTCCTATGTGAGATAAGAATGTAAGAAAAGACCTTTTAGCTATTTTAAAATTAAAAAGCAAAGTAAGCAACTAACCTACAACTGTGCCCAATAAATAAATAAAATACCAATGAAAATTCTAACCATTGAGAGTTAATTTTTTTGTTTTATTATAGCAATATTTGCTCCGTTAATGACTTAATTGATGGCAGTTAAAATTATCTAGAAGACACAGTAAAACTTCATTACGACAGAACACACCCAGGAATGGGGCCTTAGTGGAAGATTAGAAGATAAAGTTCCCAAAGCAGACTGTTGAATTTTCATCATCCTTCTTCATTTCCAGATCATTTGTAGGAGATAGATGGCAGCTTGCTAAACCCACACATACAAAGTGATTGGAAGTTTTATTGAAAGGAAATTTTCATAAATCATATTTTAATTGAGATAACATTAACAGTACTGTATGTGATTTAAGGTATTGGTTCATACCTCTTCAGAAGAATGGTATCAGATCATGCTTACCACCCAGATAGCAATAATCTACCATCATAGTCCGTTGGACATCTACCTCTTTGTCTCTCACTCCCTATTCCCCCCTGCTACCACCAGTCTCAATTCTGTGGTCAGATTTTTAGTGTTTGTTTTTGTTTAGTTTTGTCTGTTCCTTTGTGTTGTTACCACATATTCCACATATGAGTGACATCATTGAGTACTTGCCTTTGACTTAGTATAATACTCACCAGTTTCATTTGTGTTGTCCTAAATCGTAAGATTTCATCTTCTTTTTTTAATAGCAAGTAGCATATTTTCTTTATCTACTCATCTTAAGCATTTCAGTTATTTATATGACTTGGCTATTATTAAAATAGCATAGTTTTTATGAAATTTCGGATGAAGAGGAAGTATGAAAAAGTAGTCTTACTGGATTCTCTCTGATCCCCAAAACAGAAAGTGTGATATGAAATGAAAATTACTTTTAAAAAATAATTCAAAGGAAAGGCAGAAAGGAAGTAACATTACTTAATATACATTATATCGAGTTTGAGTTGAATATGGAAACGCAGGTGTTCACCAGGTAGACGGAGATGGAAGGGAGAAATGATGACATTCCAGGCAAAGGGGTAGAAATAAAACTAGAGAAGGCCATTATAAAATAGTTACCTGATTTCTCAGAATAGAAGCAGTTTGGATGGTCAGAGCACAGTCAGGAATGGAATAGTTCCAGGGCTGGCTAGGATATGACCACAGAGATGGCTTAGCCCAGTGTCTCAAATTTTTGTGCACATAAATCCTTATGGACTTGTTAAAATTCAAATTCAAGGAGAAGACTTGAGAGTCTACTCTTCTAAAAAGCTACAATGTAATGTTGATGTTCTTGGTTCTGGTTCACAGCAAACTCAGTGTCGCCAAGCTGTAAATTTTATCCTAATAGGTATTGATACTTTGAATTACGAGTTAGCACCACTCTTTAGTTAGTATTTGTTGAGTAGTACAAATACATGGCATTTCAGTTAAACTTGATATTATGTAATTTTATATAACTTCTCTTCTCTTGATAGTAGACTAATACTTGTAGCAACTTTATTGCCCACTACAAAATAAATACATATTTTAAGTATAAGCTCTTCTTCTTACTGATTTGAATGGGGGAATTCAATAGAATGGGAAGAGTCTAAAATTAGTATTCAATATAAACAGCTTTTTTAAATACTAACCTGTTTGTTTACCTTTCTTGTTTTATAACGCTGATGCACTTTCATTTTTTGCTTGAGTTTTTACTAGGTGATTCAAGAATTGTGTAAGCATCTTACTTAAATTCAGTACCTCTAAGATGGAAATAATTCTTGGTGATTTAAAAAAATTCTTAGATTAGATGTGGTCTTTGTGGTAGACGTTTTTATTATGGACTTGTTTGCCTAACTCTGTGCCTTGTCCTTATGTTTTGATTTTTAGATCGGCTTCAACTCCCCAGGAATATGATTGAAAACAGCATGTTTGAGGAAGAACCAGATGTGGTGGATTTAGCCAAAGAACCTTGTTTACATCCTCTAGAGCCTGATGAGGTGGAATATGAGCCACGGGGTTCACGACTGCTGGTGCGTGGTCTTGGTGAACATGAAATGGATGAGGATGAAGAGGATTATGAGTCATCTGCAAAACTGCTGGGCATGTCCTTCATGAACAGAAGCTCAGGCCTTCGGAACAGTGCAGCTGGCTACAGGCAAAGTCCAGATGGGGCTTGTTCAGTACCCTCTGCAAGGACCATGGTGGTCTGTGCTTTTGTCATCCTAGTTGCCATTTCTGTAATTATGGTGATTTATCTACTGCCCCGATGTACCTTTACCAAAGAAGGCTGCCATAAAAAAAATCAGTCAATGGGACTAATTCAGCCAGTCGCAACAAATGGAAAGTTGTTTCCATGGGCACAAATCAGACTTCCCACTGCCATTATGCCACTACGCTACGAACTTAACCTACACCCAAACCTAACCTCGATGACATTCAGTGGTTCTGTGATAATTTCAATTCAGGCTCTTCAGGCCACATGGAATATTGTTCTTCACAGCACTGGCCATAATATTTCAAGAGTGACCTTTACATCAGCTTCAAGTCAAGACAAACAAGTTGAAGTCCTGGAATATCCATTCCATGACCAAATTGCCATTGTTGCCCCTGAAGCCCTTCTTGAAGGGCACAATTATACCTTGAAGATAGAGTATTCAGCAAATATCTCTAGTTCTTATTATGGGTTTTATGGCATCTCCTACACAGATGAAAGTAATGAGAAAAAGTATGTAGTCCTTTTTAATGATTCTGTTTCTTTGCTTTGTAATGAATTCTGCAATATGGATCCCTTTGCTCACAACAGAGATATTAACTACATTTTTTTTTCTAATTTAGGATGTTATATGCAAGATAGTAAAATGGTGATTTGGAAGAATATTTTATTTTCAATGATTGTTACCTTCACAATCTCTTGGGCCCACTACTAGTAGAGAAATAAATATTACATGGCAAGAGAAGATGACTTTTGCTATGGACATGTGTTACCCTTTGCCGTGGGCTGGATTGAGTTGTGAAAATATTAGAAAAATGGGAGATAGTTTTATAAAATTAAGAAAGAATATTAAAAATAATACTTTCAGATCTAGCAAAATTAATTTGGCTGTGAAACTCTGCTGTTATCAAAAAATGTGTAAATCTACTAATCCAAGCTGGCTTAGCAAAACGAATGCTCATATGATGATATATCTTGATGCAAAATAAAATGTTAAAAGATCAGTTATACTTTTCAGGATATAAAACTGTATTTCAAAGCTATTTTTTTCTCTTTTTCCAATGTTTTAATGTTGGTTAGTTCTTTTAAAGCAGCTTTATTGTACTAATTTACCCTTCCTTTGAGGCATAATAAAAATAAATATTTAAGCAAGTAGGGACAGTGATTATTGATTGGAAAATCAAACATATTAACACTGCCAGTGGTAAAGAAACTTTACCTATGTCATCTAAAATGTAGAGATTGTTAATGACTCTATAGTTAAATATAGAAACAATTAAAGTTCTAGATAACAAACTCATAGTAAAAGAACAAGTAAAAAAATTTAGGATGTTTTGTTTTTTGCCCTTCAATCTTAGTATCTTTTTTTTGAACTCTGAAGCATCTCTTAACTGCTCTCCAGCCTCTGCTCTTTTCCTTGCCTTGTGCCCTTGATTCCTGCTCCATATTTTTTTTCACACTGCTTCCAAATTCCTATTTTTAAAATTTCAGATCTGATTGTGTTGGTCTTTGGTTTATGACCTTTAGCAGTTCCTCATTTCCAACAGAATTTAGTTAATTTAGTACTTTCAAGTTCTAGCTCTTGTTTTTTCAACAGTGTAGATCTGCCATTAAAAAAAAAAATGCTTCAGTGCTTTCCTGAATTCCAGTGTTAAAATTATAACCCGTGTTTACTGAGAACTGAAATGCTAGAACATTTTAAATTTTTTAGCTTATGTCCTGCCAAACTACATGAGGTAGATATTAATATTCCATTCATTTTACAGATGAGGAAGCAGAGAGACATGAAATAACTCTTCAGCACCATGTGGCTATCTGGTAGCAGAAGGGAAACCAAAACCTGAAGTTGTTTTAACCACTATGGCTACTTTCTTAAACACTGTCCTTTACTGCCTTTCTGTTTTCTCTTTTCCTTTACCCATTGCTATCTCAAGTGTCTAGAATTCTCTTACTTGACACTCAATTAACTCTAATGTCTTCGATGCAACTTAAGGTGCTGTTCAACTAGTATTTCTGAAAGCAAATACAGTCAAATACAGTATTCAATAGATAGGATAGATTATGAGTAAATCAAGTCCCTTTTTAATAGGACTCTTATGTGAGGTAGTCATTGTATTTTTTAAATAATAATTTAAGGAATTATCATCATCAAACTTCATCCCTTATCCTATATGACCCTCTTGCAATATCTTCTGTTAACTTGGTAAAAAGTTTGGAATGGGGTAAAAAGAAATGGACTGTTAGAAATATAATGTATAAATTATTTAATGTATGTTTGATGACATCGGAAACCATTAAGACTTGATGACCAGCTATAGCCTACCTCCATCTTCACTTGCAGTCACACAGGACCAACTGCAGCCAGACCTAGAATATACACTGTTGACTTTCCTACTCTTTCTAGAGTTTACTCTCTTCACTTCTCTACCTGTTTAAACATTCCTCATTTTTTTAAGGCCCTCTTTGCCTTTTTGTCATCAAGTTCCTTACAGAACCTTCACTTGCTAGCCAGACCTTGGTTTCACTATTATTACATGATTTGTAGCCCAACAAGTTTTTTGCCCATCTTACAAATCTCTGCCTCTGCCTGTTGATCCTTTAGTGACTGGGAGTGTATCTCTAGAATTTGTCACTGTGATTTGAAACTCAGATACTCAATAACCATTGAATGAATTTGCATTTGTTTTAGGTACTTTGCAGCAACTCAGTTTGAACCCCTGGCAGCAAGATCTGCTTTTCCTTGTTTTGATGAACCAGCATTTAAAGCCACATTTATTGTCAGGATCACAAGGGATAAGCAATATACTGCTTTATCAAATATGCCTAAGGTACTATTCTATTCTTTGAATATGTATGCATACTTCATTCTCTTTGCTAGGCTGCTCTTGAGAATGATTAAATTATTTAGATTTTCTTATTCTTTCTTAAAATGCTTAAAATGAGTTAAAATACATTTTGGAATCAATTCGGAAGTTAACCTGAGTAGCATTTGAAAAATTGACTTACTGAATATGGGCTGTGTGGGCAGGCAATGCAAAGTGTATCATAGACATACACACATGCACAAACATATACATTAGAGTTGAACAAGTACACAGTGTATATGTGTGTATTTCTAGACACACATTTAGTGTGTATAAATACTAATACTGTGAACTAGTACTAAAGATCACAGTGATGCTTTATGAGGCTTTCTGTGAATTTGCTTTTTTTTTTGTTGTTGTTGTTGTTTGAAAAGATTTATTTATTTATACACACAGAACTGGGGTATAGGCCAGAGATGCAGGGGTGGTGAGAGGATTCCCCAGAGACAGTGGGGAGCAGAACAGGCAGATCTACTGAAATACACTGCTGAGGGGAGCAGCAGGTGAGATGGGAGAGGTCTTCTGGGCCATGTGGGTCACTTCTCTGGCCAGGGAATGAACTTGTGCTGAGGTGGTTGTGGCTAGCTAGCTTCATAGTGCTGTGCTTTAACCCGTTGTGCCACCACGGAGTGCCTGAATTTGCTACTCTTAACACTAGTATTGAATTATGATTTTCGTGGTGTTTCATTGTTACTGAAAACAGGTGGTAACGTAGAGGCTTATGAACAATAACTTAGATCTCTTTCTTGGGTGTAAACTCTGCGTAGGAAGCAGTGAAAGTAGACTTAAGCAGAATTATTTTGAATCTCAACAAAACTTAGGGGGCTGCATTTGTTGACCTCAAAGGGTGTGTGTACAGTCTATTAGTAGTTTGTTGGAACTTGTTACTAGCAGAGAAGAGCAGCCATATTTGACAGACTATAGAATTAACTCTTTTAGGTAGGGAAGTGCTATCCTTCAAGAGGAACATCACTTAAACAGCTCCACACCTGGTCATACTTATCACCTTAGTCTTTCTTTAAAAGAAGTGAATACCTCTTAGTATCTCAAAATGTCTTAATACATGGTTAGAAAATTCTGCAAAGTTGTGTGTTTTTCCTTACCTTGTGTTTACTGCATACTTCTCTAGTGCCTTACCACTTTGGTTCTACTAGCTTTTTTGAGGTCATTAGCATGATACTTTCCAAAGGGACATCTCAGTTGTAGCTCCTTCTTCCATAACTATTTGTAGCAGTAGAGTAGAACTCCTAGGTCATAAAGAAGGATTTGGTTTTTATGGCTTTAAAGGAGAGAAACACAACTACTGTTACTTCTTCTTTCTAATTTGTGCTTCTTTAAAACCATTTTTTGAGACTAAAAACACAGATTTTCATTGTATACAATCTGTCCTTATGATGGACAGTAGAACAGACTGACACTAGGGACCATGCTCCTATTAAAAAATAGCATAGGCAGGTTCAAACATGCTAACATCTTTACTACTTACTTCTTATTTGAACTTTCAATTCCTCAATTTATTTGTACAGAATTATTTATGACTATCAGTATATTTTATTTGTGACTATTATTTATTCCCATATTTACAAATTTATCATCTTTTTCCCTTTGCTTATAGAAGTCATCAGTCTTGATGGAAGATGGACTTATTCAGGATGAGTTTTCTGAAAGTGTAAAAATGAGCACTTACCTGGTTGCTTTCATTGTGGGCGAGATGAAGAACCTGAGTCAGGACTTAAATGGAACCCTGGTATGTTGTAATAATTGTCTTAAAAAGAGGTCTTGAGGGATGCTTATTGTAATGATTCCTGGAAAACTGCTTTTTAAAGAGAAACAAGTTTTTGGGTCACAACTCTGACATTTTATACCAGAAATGTTATTTTTTTGCTGAACTTATTTAATGTTATACCTGAAAGTCAATAATTTTCAAGGTCCCTCTTATTTTACTTTTTACAAGAGAATTTCATTATGCCAAAGCTTCTAGAATTGCACTGCTAAATGTGATGGGCACTGATCTTATGTGATAATTTAGATTTAAATTAATTAAAAGTAGACTCAATAAAGCATCCCTCATTTTTGTCCCACTGGCAAATTTGGTATTCATCCTTGCTCCTATGTGCCTTTGTGGGGAAGTTGTAGGGTCCTCTTCCTTACATCAAGGGAGCTCAGATGGGGTCTTGCTCACCTTGTATCAGGTATTACACATACAAACCTTGGTCCTGGCTATGGAACCTGAAATAGTCCTTAAATTAACTCTCATCCTCTCTTCTGCAATCTGGAGTACCTAAAAAGTACCATTTTAGATAATCATGTATGAATAGGAGAATCTTTGTGGAATTCTAGATTTTCAGTAGAAAATTTCCAGGACACTGTTGGAGAAAAAAAAAAATTGTTTTTGACTGCATTAGAAAGGCAGTTAGTAAAGACTGAAAAGAAGTGACTGTTACTTAAGATGTGAAGACAAAATACAAAATCTTTAAGGAATATGAAAAATCAAGGGGATGATATATTACTGAAGGACCACAATAATTTAGTAGCTAATCCCAAAGACATGGAGAGTTATGATTTACCCAGTGAATAATTTTTTTTCCTAATAGATAATTTTCTTTTTTAAAGATTTTTATTTTATTATGTATTTAAGAATTGGAGTATAGGCCAGAGGAGCAGGGATGAGAAGATTCATCAGAGATAGAGTGGGGAGCAGAAAGGCAGGTCTACTGAAATACATTGGTGAGGGGAGCAGCTGGCAAGACAGCAGCTGCTCTAATGGCTCAGCTCCCTGGCCCCTGATTGAACTCTTGCTGTAGTACTGGCAGTAGCTTAATAACACGGATACTTTAATCCTTGAGCCACCAGGAAGGCCCATAATAGATAATTTTAAATAGCTGTTTGAAAGAAACTCAATGATTGACAAGAAATCATTGAAAAAAATTAAATGAAATAAAGAAACAGTGTTCACAAAACAAGAACTTTAACAATACATAGAAATCATATAGAACAAAACAGAAATCCGTGAGTGAAATTGATTATTCTAACTAGTTCTTTTGCTTTTCATTATGATGAGTCCCTATGTGGAAATCATTCTTTGATTGAATTTTACGGTTAAATGTCTTAATAGAGTCCTAATCTAATTTTTCACACACTAGCAATGGAGAAAGAGAAAATATTCTTTTAAAAGCTAAAATTAACTGTTGTTCAGATGAAACTGTTATGGAATTCTTTAACTTTTTTTATTTCCACCAAAAACATTGTCTACCCTTAATACAATCATTTGGATTTGGGTTTTCTTAATCACAATATACTTGGATCTTATTATTTTGCCACTTTAAAAGCCTCCTATTAGAAAAGATTATCATATTGCCCCATGACTCTTAGAAATAAGACAGAAATAAGGATTATCTTGCTGTTTATCAGCTGTGTATGCCATATGCACAACATTTATGGCTGGAGAACTAGTCAAGAAGTAAAGTATAGACTGTATATTAAGTAAATACTCAGTATGGTTTATTCTTCTTTGCTTGAAAGATCTGCTGTGAAGTTTAAACCAAAGGAGTTTCTGGAATCCTTTCAGACATATACTAAGACTGGTTTACATTTGGAAAAGAAAAATAATTTTAGTTCAAGCGTTGCTCCACAAATTTAACCCTTGATTCAGTATTGCAGCCTTGACAGAACCACAAGGCTCAATTTAGAAGAGTCAGATTTGCATATCTTTAGAACCCCACTGAATACCACCACCTCCTTAAGCTTTTTGCTTTTTCTCCAGCTGGTATTAAATGATTGTTCTCTCATATTTCAGAGCACTTTATTTCTATTTCTGTTGTAGTTTTCATATTTTTTTATATAAACCTCCACTATTTTTTTAATTCCAAAATGTGTATAGTTTTGACTTCCTTTTCCCTCTGTCCTTCTGTTTGCTCTCCCTCCTTCTGTTTTTATGCTACAAGAATGACAGAATTACCTAGAAAATTCTAGGTCCATTTTGAAATGAACTGTTTTTGTTTGTTTGTCTTAGGTTTTTGTAACATTTCCTGATTTTGTTTTTTTCCCGTGAGTAGGTTAATTAGTTGTGTATATCATATTGATTTAACATCCAAACACAACCTTCAACAGTATTATTTATGCAAAATTATAATTTTTTTTTTATATTTAGCTAGAATAATATTCAGATTACTTAGAACTAACCAAAATATATTTAGTTAGTTCTACTCAAGTATCTATCTGTCCATTTGCAAAGAAGGGACCTTCTACATAATTTATACCATTTTCCCAATGTTCCATACAATCAGGTATCCTGGTAGTTTCTCATTTTGTTTTGTTATGCTATATTTGGTATGTACTATTGTTTAAGTAATATGATATTTTTCAGGAAACTTCTAATGTCTTTTGTAATTATAAATCCTTCAGGCCATATTAGTGACCTTTTTGGTTTGGTTCTTTTATTTTAATTTTATATAACTTTTGGTTTTCATTAAATTAAAGAACAGAATAAATTAAACCTAACAAAGCTGTTACGCCACAGTCTTAAAGAAACTGAGAGCTGACTTAAATCTTTGTATTAGTGGCCTTAAAAAACTCTTAGTTTCTTGGAGGTATGGCTCAGTGATATTGATAACCAAAATATGCCCACAGTTCTTAGCAAGAAAACTTGTAAGAAAAGTCTTAAGTTGTGGGTCTTGAGGCATAAATTCTAGTTGACTTTTATTTAACAGTTGCTTAGATTACTCTAACAATGGCCCAGAATGTTACTCAAGATATCCTCTAAGAGCTATATTGTTCTGTTTATTTCTTACTGATTCTGTTGTTAAAACAAACTTGGTAATCATTTTAGTGATCAGATGATTTATTGTTAGTGGGAATTCATAGTACATGTTCTTTTAAAGAAAAAGAAAAGCAGAAAGCAAGAGAAAAATACCAAACTACCTTTTTCCTAGTCATTGTATTTTAGAAGTGAAACGATTGTGGGTCAGTTTTGTGAATTTATCTTTTGTCTCTTGAGTTTTCCTCTAAAGAAATGTGCTTTCACACAGAGCCATGGGATTGGCCAGATGGTAAGAGTGGCAGAGGATGTTTGGTTGAGAATCTAGGATATGTGAGTGATATTTTATTGGGAGATTATATTTTTTTCCATAGTTACTTTAGGTGGCAACATATTTTTAAGTGGCAAACTCCAGTCTTAGACACTGCATTCTTCCAGTTACTGTTGCTACAAATGCTCTATTCACATATTTTGCTCCATTTATAATTGAACTCTGTATGAAATACGAAGTAGCTATCATTTATTGAACACTTATACCGTGGTAGAAACTGTTCTAAATTCCATATAGATAGTAGCTCATTTAATGTTTACCACAACTGTGAGAGGGTCAGAGCTACTTTTATCATGATTTTATAAATACAGAGATTTTTCAAGATTGTGAAACTAGCAAGGATTGGAACTGTGGCAGTCATTGCATTCTGTTTTTTCAGTTTTCTTTACATTTAATGTTTTTAAAGATTTATTTTATGTATTTATGCATATAAGAGCTGGGGTGTAGGTCACAGATGCAGGGAGGTGGGATGGTGGGAGGATTCACCAAAGGCAGTTTGAGGAACAGAACAGGTGGATTGACTGAAATACACTGCTGAGGGGAGCAGCAGGCCAGACAAGAGAACTCTGCTGTGCCACGGGGGTCAGCTCCCTGGCCAGGGATTGCGCTCGTGCTGCAGTGGCTGTGGACAGCTTCACAGTGCTGAGACTTAGCCTCTTGTGTCACCAGGGAGGCCCCAGTTTCCTTTCCAGTTAATTTTAATCCATGTCACTTCCTTGTTTTTGATTAAAGCCCCACACCAGAACAATAATGGTTGAAATCTATTTGTGCTCTCAGTGGAAGTGTTGACAGTTTTTCAGTCTTCTAATACGAAGCGGGTCAGGAGAGGTCTGCCATGCCATGTGGGTCACTTCCGGGGCAGGCGGGGATAGAACTCATGCTGAAGTGGCTTTAGCTTTTTAGTGTTGTGCTTTAACCCACTGTGCCACCAGGGAGGACCCTGAAAATGTAGTTTTGCCTTCAAGTAATTTACAGTCTTAATAGTTCAGAGGCAAGGAAGGGCAATTGCCAGGAATGGAGATAAAGAAAAGCATAAAATTAAATGGCAAATATTTATAAATTGCTATAAGGTGATCCCAAGTGCTTTATTTTAGATGTTATAATAACTTAAAAAAAAAAAAGGGAATCAGTAATATTGTTCAACACTGTTGTATGTTATGAAGTCACTTGCTAATTCTAGGTCTGGGGTGGAGGATGCCTAAGGAACTATAAGCTAGAGTCTCTGTCTTGAAAAATCTCATAGAACTCTTTTCAGTTCTCAGATACACCAATGTTAATTGTTCTTAAAAGAGATACCTTTTTAATTATTCATGTTCTTATATCATGCATAATGTTTCCTTTTAGGTTTCTATATACACTGTACCAGAAAAGATTGGTCAAGTTCATCATGCCTTGGAAACAACTGTGAAACTTCTTGAGTTTTATCAAAACTACTTTGAAATTCAGTACCCACTTAAGAAACTGGGTAAGGATCCAACAATGCCTGATTTTCACTACCAATATAATCTGGATTCATTTGCATATGTTTTTTAGAAAGAGCTTTCACCAAAATTACTTTAAAATAAAGCAAAGAAACACTTTTGATGCTTTAAAAATGGTAATTGTTAAGATGATTTAGAACTCATGAAAGTATCTGAATGTAAAACTTAAATCACTTAGAAATTTATGTTACTATTACAAAAGTGCCATGTAAGTGAGAATTTGCTTAGAGTTTAACTGTGTAAAGTTCGAGTAATTCTAACTTTCTAAGTTTCTGATTCAGATACTAAAAGCTGAGTAATGGGAACTGAGGACGGCAGAGGACTTCAGTTTTGTTCAACCTGCCTGGAACTATTTATTCTAGATAGTAGAGGGTTGGACTTGTCCTCCTTGTCCTCATAAGTTTACTTACTTATTCATGAAAATATTAGGTATCTTTCCTTTCCTGGAAGATAAGCAAAGGTTTGATCAAGTCTTCCACAGTTAACAGCTGAGAAACATACAAAGGCTCTATTTGTTGAGTGTAAAACCAACTCATTGCCTTCTGACTCTCAGTGGTAAACCAGTGGGTGAAAAATTTTGATTTACTTAGGGTGTGCCTTAGGTGAATGAAAATTGATCATTTCCTCCCCTTTGTGTCCAGATTTGGTGGCTATTCCTGACTTCGAAGCAGGAGCAATGGAAAATTGGGGTTTATTAACTTTCCGAGAGGAGACACTTCTGTATGACAATAACACTTCTTCAGTAGCAGACAGAAAACTGATTACTAAAGTCATCGCTCATGAGCTGGCACATCAGGTAACTGAGACTGGTCTAGCTCATATCTTGTGGCCTCTTTCATTCACTAGATTTTTAGAATAGATTTAGATGCTAATAACAATAATTCGTATTTTTATTATAGTATTGCTTTTTTTGATAATAAGGATACTTCTGACATAAATTTAATGTTCATATGCAAATGCTGTCTAATATTGTAGAGGGTTTTACAGATTATAAAGGATTTTATCTTCATGAGCTCACTTCTTTTTACAACTTCTCTAAGATAGGTGGTAATACCATTTTACAAACATGGAAACTGAAACTCAGCTTATGTAGATGACTTGCTCCAAATTACACAGCTAATAAGTAGGACCACTGGACCTTAAACAACCAAGACTAGATCTAGAGCTCTCTCTCCCCACTGACCCAGTAACAACAGTTTCATCTCTGAGAAACACCAGCTTCATAGTAGAAATATGTTGGGAAGAAACATTTTACTGAATTCTATTTCACAACTCTTGGACTGCGTTTTCAGGACCAGTTTTATATTTCTGTTTCATGCTAGAACTGGGTTCTCTATTAATTTGAAGGAGAGAGGTCCTGAGAGTGAGGGTTAATTAATTTTTTAATTTTTTTACTTTGTATGACATAGTGAAAAAGAAAGAGATTGCATTGGCACCTGAATCACCCTCTTTTTTCTCCACCACCTTGTCTTGTGCACTCAAGGGTTGTGGGCTTCATGATGATGGGATGATATAGAAGAAAAAGAGGAGGTGCTCTTGTTTATTACTCTGCCTCAGCCACAATGTGTTATGAGTCTGTAGCCCTTGTGAGGACTTTATGACAAACTGTCATATGAAGGACATAACCAAGTAATCTACTATTATAATTTTAGACATACAGATGAATTTTAATGGATCTCCTCTGCTATTTCTGGGTCCTCCCATCACCACTGGGAAATATTTCTCTAAAACATGTTCTGAAAGATCTCATGTCTTTGAAAAATATAATAATTCTCAAAAGTAAGACTGACAGCAGAATAGTTGTTACCTGAGAGGAAGGATTGGAGGAGGTTATAGGTAGATGACCCATTTGGTGTGGATGCTGACTGGACATTAGTAGTGGGCACGGAGAGATAAATACAATGACTACAACCCTGAAAACTATACAATATCATAAACTGGTATTACCTTAATTTTAAAAAAAAAAAAAGAGGAAACAAATGAGCAGAAGCACCTTCAGTTACATGGCAAAAAAGAAAAAAAAAAGTTTCTTTATCTAGTAACCCTATCCTTTTGCTGCTGGTTTAAGACAAACCCTGGGACACACTGTTACCACTCTTTATTTCAAGGACTGCTGAGATAATTTTTTTTTAGAACTGTCTCCTATCATTTTCTGTTGTTACAGTCTCATAAAAGAAGACATTTAAAGATCGTTCTGATGCTATTTATTTATATGTATGCCAGCTTTCTTAAGGAATGTTGTTCAGTTCTGTTTTAGATTATGTGAATACTGTCCTTGACAGTTACTGAGTAGACACTTGTGGTTTGGACTCTCTGACCATAGAATTATCACTTGCATAGAAATTTATTTTTTTAGGGCCCTCCCTGGTGGCGCAACAGATTAAGATGTAGCACTGCAAGCTGGCCATAGCCACCTCAGTGCGAGTTCAATCTCCTGCCTCAGAGGTGATCCATATGGTTTAGCAGATCTCTCCTGACCTGCCCACTGCTCCCTCAGCAATGTACTTACTCCATCTGCCTGCTCTGCTCCCCACTCTGTCTCTGGTGAATCCTCTCACCGCCCCTGTACCTCTGGCCTGTACCTGGGTTATGTATGCATAAATAAATAAATATTTTTTAAAGAATAAATTTATTTTTTAATTGTTATTGATAAATGTAGATGTAATGGAAAATTGGCATTCGATAGTAGGAGCATTTATTTACCTGGGAAATCTTACATTTAATGAATTGGGTGAAACATTTTTATTTACTTAATACAAAGCTTTAGTGTTAAATTAATAAATATATTGTTTCTTGCTTGTTTTCCTATTTGATTATGGTGAGATTTAAAAATTTTATTTTATCAGTTTTTCAATAATGAAATGTATTTATACACACACACACACACACACACTTTACAACTGTTTGTTTTTTTATAGTGTTTGAATTTTTCCTCTCAGGTATAATCCTCATAAAATTATCACCACCAAGTCACCTGTGAACCATAGTCTTTTGTGCTTTTCTCTCCTCTAGTTCAATCCTTCTCCCTAGCCTGCTGCACCTCCCCTCCATTGTATGTCTCAAATTTATAGTTTGCCAGGTAGTTTGGTCTCTTTTATTTTCTTTGCCTACCCCTTTCTTCCTAAATGAAAGCATCTGATATTTTTCTTTTTCCTTTTGATTTATTTTACTGAGTATAATACCTTCCAAATCCATCCTTGTTTCTGAGAATGACATGAGTTTATCTTTTTTGATTGTTGAATAGTATTCCATTGTGTGTATATATTTTGTGTCAGTGTATACATACATCTTCTTGATCTAGTCACCTGGTTTTGGATATAAAATTCTTATTTTAAAGTAAAGTTTGTAAGCCTTTTAATTGAATGTTGACTATAATAGCTATACTTTTAAGATATTAATTATAGGTGATTGACCTTACAAATAGATTCATATTTAATTAAGATGAGATTTAAAAATTTTATTTTACTCACATTCATGAAATATATTTATTTTTATATGTATACACACACACACACTTTACATCATTTTTCATTTTTGTATATATAACATTTGATTTTTCCTGTCAGGTGTAATCCCCATAAAATTTCTTAATTAGGCAACTCCTCAGAACATAAATACTGTGTTGGTTAACAGCTTGTTTTTTCCCCACAGTGGTTTGGCAATCTGGTAACAATGCAGTGGTGGAATGATCTATGGTTAAATGAAGGTTTTGCCACTTTTATGGAATATTTCTCTTTGGAAAAAATATTTACTGATCTCTCCAGTGTAAGTACAATGTTTGTTAGGTGTACTGTGAATGCTGGGAGGGAAATAATCAAATCCTATTTCCCTTTTATTTTCAGTGCATTTGTAGTAATGAGAATGCTTCTGAAGGGAGACAATGAAATTGACCCTTGTTACTGATATCTATTTCTCTGTACCTCTTGAAACATGACAATAAAAATTATGCTTTTATTTACTGACATCTTTTTCATTGAAATCTAAAAATTTTCATATTTGTCATTAAGATGGACATTTTAAATAGATGTGTCCCTTCTGTGTGAAGATTTTAGATAAAGTTGAAAGCTTTTTCTTTTGTTAAACAAAGCTTCTTATACTGTGTAAAAGGAGGAAAAATCATTAAGATGTCTTAAAGTAATGTTGTCACATTTTTATAAGCAATATATAGGTTGATACAGAAAAGATTTTGCACTTATTACAAACCATATGTTGTTCCGTTTTACAAAGAACATGATGTCACTGGCCTGTTAAAAACCATGGAGATTTTTCCTGTCTTTAAAGATAATTGGACACAGTAGGCCATGATATGACAAATACTGCCCAGTAATTCAAGCAATAAGTTGGAAAGTATAAAGATCCTTTTCGATCCCTAAATTCTGTGACCTTCTGTTAAACTTACTGAATATACTATTGGATATTCCTCCAAAATAGGAGTACCCTAAGGGTTTTCAATTTGTAATTTTTGAGTAAGGTTTGTTCAAAAATTTCAGGTGTCATGATGCTAGTTTTAGTTTAAAAACTAAGGAGTTATACTAAATCTGTGTATGGTACTTAATTAAGCAATGAGATATACAATTTCACCACTTGGTGGTGCCCAGATGTTTAAAAACTTCTAATACTTATTCCAAGGGATCCTATCTGTTGAATTCTCAAAGAATTTTGTCTATTTAAGGGTTGTATTTTCTTTCAAATAAAGCTCATTTTCAGGAAATTAGTACTAACTCAATAGAATTGGCTTAAGGACTTGCTTTTAGTTTTGATTTTTAATTTCATGTTTAAAAAATACATGTACATGGTGATGGCACACAGGTGACTTGGTGATGGGAAACCCGTGGGGACTACAATTGAGATGAAGGAAAAAAATGTAAAAATGTAAAATAAACTGTTATAAAATGAAAAAAAAATACATGTACATTAAGCTTTTTAGAATATTCTTCTTAACTACCCAGACTTGGCACTTGGTTGCTTCAATAGTAAATTTGTGAATTCATCCAATATGCTATTATTTAAGAAATGCTGCTTTACATGTTGCCAGGAGGTTATAATTTTTACTTTCAATTTAAAGAATATACATTAATATCATAGTCTTCCTACATTTTTAAAAGCTTATGTTCTAAAGTTTAGTGAAGCTGGTTTTTTTTTTTTTTTTGGATGTTCTTAAACATTAACTAGTCTAATTCAAATGAAGTTATTATTCTTGCTTTGCCTTTGATTCTGTCCATAGTTTCCTGATCTATTTTTTGTTTTTTTTTGTTTGTTTGTTTGTTTTTGCTAGTATGAAGATTTCTTAGATGCCCGATTTAAAACCATGAAGAAAGATTCCTTGAATTCATCTCATCCAATATCATCATCTGTTCAGTCTTCAGAACAGATTGAAGAAATGTTTGATTCTCTTTCCTATTTTAAGGTAGTGCTGTGCACAATAATATATATCTGGAGTAGGGTTCAGGTTAATTTCATATGTGAGCAAAACTCTGTGATTTAGATTATTTTAAAGTTTAAGTTACTGTTTTGGCTTTCTTATTAAACTAATTTGTTTGCTTCTATTTATGCCTTGGTCTTAACCTTTTGTATTTTTTCCCCTTCTTTTTCAGTCTCTCATCTAAGTTCTCTGACTGGTATTCTAGGCTGTAATCCAGATCTTATAGCAATAGACCTTTTAGAGCTGGATCACTCTCCAGATCTACAGATAGGATTATATCCAGGGAAGATCCTAAGCAAGCATTGACTGTGTATTCAGAATTGAATTATGTTTTAAATACAGATTTGCCAAAACAAATAAGCTAAAGAGATTTCAACTATGAGAGATTAGAGTGCAGGATCAGAAATACCAACTCTTGGTTTTGGGGCCAGAGTCAGAATCTAGAAACTTAGTTTTATCACCATAAATTAGAGAACAAAAGAATGGGGATATCATTGTTACTCAAATTTGTGTTGGGAAGAAGGGGTGAATGTTATGGTTAATTTGCCTCCTTATTCTAGCTATTGCATTAGCTGATTAGTAAATTGAAATTCTGTGCTTGCACAGAGTAGAAAATATACAAAATATGTTCAGTACAGTCCATATCATCACAGATTCAGAATTGAGGTAATGGATACTTGTGTAGCAGTAACAGGTGATTTGTACTAAATGAACAGTACAGAGTGATTTTACTTGGGATGGCGAAGAAAAAAATTTGGAAGAAAAATAAAAAATAATAATAATAATAAAGTGGGAAATGATTAGAAAGAGTAGGTTAATGCAGATATGGGACAATTATTTCACCAAGGAAAAAGTCAAAATACTGAGAGTCAAGAAAAATTTGTTTAAGGACTAAATGTTTGACTGCAGTGAAAACCATATGTAGAGTAGGGGAAAGAGGAGAAAGGTAACTTGGGGCCCAGTTGAAGAAAGTACTGAATATCAGAAGGAGTTTGGATTTTTTTTTTCTGTAAGTAATGGAATGTTTAGAAGATTCTGAACAGAGAATGACTTGATTAATGTTAATACTTAGGAAAGCTAAATTGGTTTCAGTTTATAAAGGGGACTTAAATGTCAGGAAACTGCTGGTCAAGTCCATGCATGAAATGGCTACAGTTTGAAATTAGGAGTGTTAGTGAGTGTTTAAGAGAAGTGATAGAGGAAACAATCACCCAGTTAAGGAAGAACCTGAAGGATTTGACAAAGAAGGGGTCAAAAAATGTTTTCCAAATTAAGTTCTGACTGGCAGTGAAAATGTTAATACTGTTAAAAAATAAGGAAATCAGGAGTTCAACTAGCTCCATTAAATGTATTCTAATTAGAGATACGGCTGTGATTTTTAAAGGTCTGGTGCTGTCATGAAAGAAAATTTTTAAAACTTTGATTTTCTTACATAGAACTGTTTTTCATAACTTGTTAATAGAAAACTCTGTCTTCTTCCAACCCCTACCTTCTAAATATAGAATTCAGTGTCTTATGATCATTTGTTCTCTACAGCAGTCTAACCCCTTGTGAGGTTATATGGTAATTACTTATTTAAAATTTAAGACTTTGGCAAATGGCAAATACCCCACATTTTTAAGAAGGGCAGGACACTGGATACTTTACCAATATTGTGTACTAGAAGTAAGTGCCAGCATGGGAAATGTGCTTGGCAGACATAGTCTGTTATGTCTTTGTAATCATCAAGCCTAATCTAATGTAGGTTGTCTTGTGAAAATTCATTCATTAAAAAATCTTACAAGTGACAACGATGCATCATCGGAGATACTGATGATACATCATGGACACGTGGACTATGTCCCTGCCACTGTGGAACTTCCCTTCTATGGGTTAGAGATAGAGAGATGGACACTATACAAATGAGTGAATAAATGGGTATTATGAAAGACTTTTAGGAATACAAGTCAGTTATAGCAAAAGAAACTGAGTGGGATGGCCAGTGATACAAGAGAATAAATATTGGTGCCCAAAACCAAGTGCAGAAAGGTTTTCAAGGCGGAGCTGATGACAATCATATCAAATACAACTAAAAAGCTGATAAAATGAGCCTGAAAATTGACATGGTTGGGACCTCCCTGGTGGCACAGCGGCTTAAAGCACAGCACTAAGAATCAAAAAGACACTTCAGCATGAGTTCGATCTCCACCCTGGAGGTGATCCACATGGCGCAGCAGACCTCTCCTGACCTACACGTTGCTCCCCTCAGCAGTGTACTTCATCAGTCAGCCTGTTCTGCTCCCCACTCTGTCTCTGGTGAATCCTCTCACCGCCCCTGGCCTATACCCCAGTTCTGTATGCATAAATACATAAATCTTTTTTTAAAAAATTGACATGGTTTAGCACCTTCCAGTGGAATGATGGCTAGAAGATTGCTCTCTTGAAAACAAGAGATTGCAAATGTAGACAACTCTTGAGGATTTACTACAACTAGCGAATAAGAAATAGATGACAGGCCCTCCCTGGTGGTGCATTGGGTTAAAGCACAGCACAAAGAAGCTAAAGCCACTTCCCTATGAGTTCAAACCCGCCTGCCCTGGAGGAGATCCACATGGTGTGGCAGACCTCTCCTGACCCGCCCACTGCTCCCCTCAGCAGTGTATTTTGTCAGTCTGCCTGTTCTGCTCCCCACTCTGTCTCTGGTGAATCCTCTCACCCTCCGCATCTCTGGCCTGTACCCAGTTCTGTACAAATAAATAAATAAATCTTTAAAAAAAATTAAAAAAAAAAGAAATAGATGACAACTGGAAGAAACGGCATTAAGGATAGGAAGGACATTTTTATTTGTTAAAAATTAGTAAAGTTATTTTGTTTTTTTTTTTATTTATTACTGGAAATGCTACAGTGGAGCAAGTTTGTGATGCAGGAGAGAAAGGGAACTGTTGGGAATTAGAAAGAGTACCTAATTTATCGATGAGGTACCACTGTTAAGTACAATGTATTTGTAAGCGCTTAGCTTTTTTATACTGACACTGAAACAGTGAGTAACTGAAAATATGGCAAATGGCACACAAAATAGATTATAGTAGAATTAGTGTACTTCAGAAACTACTCCATTAATTCCTTTTCAAATCATTTAAACTACAGTCAGATTGCTAAATATTATTTCACATTTGTTATATAAGACCAAATAATGTTATGTCACAGCTAGTTCTTAAATATGAAATTATGTTCTTAGAATAATTATATTTTAATTTAAGTTCTAAGTTCTATTACCTATATAGATTTCACTGTTTTTCTCCCCTTTTTTTGAATAGGGAGCTTCTCTTTTGCTCATGCTGAAGACTTACCTTAGTGAAGATATATTTCAACATGCTATTATTATTTACCTGAATAATCACAGTTATGCATCAATTCAGAGTGACGATCTCTGGGATACTTTTAATGAAGTAAGTGACTTGAGCATTTTATTTCTCTCAAAGTATGAATAGAGAAACTCTTCTATTTATTTTTATGATGTATATAAATAAAATTTTTTCATACAAAGTTACACCATACAAGCATAGCTATTTAAGATACAGATATTAATATTAAGATATTATTCAAGATACTAAGATATTTAAGATGGAGGTGAAACTATAAATCACTATTACATAGCGCAGAATTAAAAGTCAAGAAAAAGTAGTAGTAGTGTAGAAAAAAATTTACAATCTGTAATCATTTTTATTCTGTACCTTAACCTTCATTCCCGCTTTATAGGAAAGTTGTCCTTCCTGAAGTAATGTATGTTTTTAACTTTATCATTTCATTTTCCTCTCTCATTTTTTTCCTTCTGTTTCTGCAGTTTTACACACACACACACACACACATTCACACACACACACAATTCTGTCCATGATTCCTTCTATCTTTGCAACCTTGTTCCTTTGAAATAGATGATGCATTAGTAGCTGACTGCCACTTGATGGGCACTTGTGCTGTTGAGATCATTGTGTATTTGGATTTTGCTGTGCCTGCAAACATTCAACAATTTGGTCCAAGTTAGGCCACTTTGTAGCAATTGGTTCATATGTGCTAGCTGTAAAAACCATATAAGCATTTGACTTGGTTTTCTTGATCTAGATCAGGGTTTCTTAATGCTTTGAAGAACATAGTTATAATTGAAAACTTGTTAAAAGTTCTGTACATATTCCCCATAAAAACTACAGATATGTAAAGTAGCATATACAGTTTCATAGTTTTGTGGATGCTGGTGTTAAGAACCCTGTTCTGAATCTTTTTTATATACTATTTCTGCTACAGTATCTGGAACCTGTTATTTTCTAGCCAGTCTTTTACAAGAAGATACATCTTTTCTACCTTCTGAATCCTCTTTGAGAATTTATTATGTAAGAGTTGTTTCCAAATCATTTGTTTTTCCTGATATCACAAAGTAACATCACAAAGTAACAGTTGAAAGTCACATTTAGAATATATTTCTACTTTCTTCACTGATTTCACCTTTTGCATAAAAGTGCACTACCCCAGCTTAGTCTCCGATTTTGTCCCTCAAGTTTTAAACATACATATCAGAATAGACAGTCCTCTTCATTGCAGTTCTAGTCCAAAGACTCAGAAACACCTCTTTTTTGGACAAGCTTCTCTCTTCCCAGTCTCTTTTTTAGAGATATATATGTCAGGACCATAGAAAATATAAGATTGATATAATGAATTTTAAAAGATTTACTTCATCCATTTAGACTTTAAGTAAATAAGCATATGACAGTTTAGATGATATTATCAGACATTTTAAATACTTGATGATTTTAGTTGCTTGCAAATACACCCATCTGTAACCTGCAAAAATAACTTGAATCATAAGTTCAATTCACCTGCTTTCAAGGGGCAGTTGTTCAAACATTGTTTCTTAACATGTGTTAGAGAGTGGGCTTTAGAGAGCATGGGAACTGACACTGGATAGTAGAGGGTTTGTAAATCTCAGACATTGGGTTCTAGATTTGTAGATAAATTCGTAGGTTTTTCTGGGAAAGATGGTCTGATCAAAGAGGAAATTTTCCACTGTTCTCTAGAAATACTATAGTCAAGGCAACCAACCTGTTGTATTTCACTCTCCGACCACTGCTTTAACATTTACAAAGCCAGAGGGCCTAAAGAATAAAGGAAAACCCTTACTCAGTTGCTTGGCAGGAATGGGTAGCAATGCTTTTGATTCTAGACTGCATATTATTATTCAGGCCTTCTGAGTTATAGTATTATGGCTGGAAAATACTAATACTATGATACTTTCTTATGGCTTTTGAAGAACTCTCTCGAGTTATCCTCTGTTCTGTTCCAGGTTATTTTTCCTTTTAGCAGTTGCTCATTTACAGAAATTAGAAATGTAAGTTTAGTTGAGCATTTATGATTCCTTTTTATATTAACATTAAATGTAGACTGCACTGAACATAGTAGTGAATGGTACAGACAAAATAAATTGAAGTTTTTTAATTAATATGTCCTGTGAGCAAAACTAATTTATTCTTTTTTTTTATAGGTCACAAACAAAACACTAGATGTTAAGAAAATGATGAAAACCTGGACTCTGCAAAAAGGATTTCCTTTAGTGACTGTTCAAAGAAAAGGAAAGGAACTTCTTGTACAACAAGAAAGATTCTTCTTAAATATGAAGTCTGACCTTCAGTCTTCAGATGCAAGGTGCATGCCCTCTTTCTTTTCTAAACATCTCATTTACTCCCTCAAGTTAAGATATTTTTAATTGTTTTGTAATCATAAATTTGTATGAAACCTAACCAGATTATCCCCTTTTTTGGGAGTAACTGGAAAATTTCATCTTCTTGACCCATCCCCTCAAAAAAAAAAAAAGAAAAAAAAATCTAACAAGTTATGACTGAACTATTGAAAAGCAAAATAATTGAGTTTTTTTTTTTTTTTTTTACAGCTATCTGTGGCAGATTCCACTATCTTATGTCACTGGGGGAAGAAATTATTCAAAATATCAATCGGTATCGCTACTGGACAAGAAATCAGGTTTGACTATAATATTTTCCTGATAAGAAATTAAGAATAGCATATTGAAAGAAACCTCACTTACCAAACAGTAAAACGGAGATTACAGTTTCCATTGTAATGAGTCACTTATAACAGATGTGGTAAAATGAGATTGATTCTATACATCATTGCACAAAATTCAGCTGCCTTATGTGCAATCATATATAATAATGTTGCATTCAATATGCTAGTAATCCTGGTAGAAAATACGAAGTGCTATGTTTTTGTATCCTAGATAAATATTTTATATTACGAAGTAAGGAGTAGAGATAGTGCAGTGAAGTTATGTTTGCTATATACTTCCTAGGAACGGACTGTGGTAGTTGCATTTTAATAAGTACCCTAAATTATAGTTATGCATAATAATATTGATTCATAACCTAGATCTATAGTAAATAATTATTACAAAATATCCTGCAAGTTTAGTATACATTTTTTTTTGGTAATGATAGCAAAGACAGGAGTAATAAAATGTAAAGATTGTATATGTTGACCCACAAAGTTATAAAAAGCAATTGAAATGCAGTTTTTGACTATCTGTTAATAACTGTTGGTATTAAGAATGCCATACCATGTATCCTTATACAGCTCTTGAATTCTATAGGAAACAGACTTTTAATTGATGGGAAGGAAAAATTTGTTTGGAACAGGGTGACGTGTTCAAGACTGTACTTTAGGGGAAAGGACCGTACCTTAGTGATTAAAGGAACTGACTTTAGAGATAGGTTTCCTGGTAAATTGTATAATTTTGGTCAGTAATATGACCTCTGGAGCTTCATTCCCTCAACAATAGAACACAGATAGTAATTATACTTGCTTTATAGGGTTCTGATGAGGATTAGTTTAGTTTCATGAAGCACTAGAACAATGCTTGACACATGTTACATACTATTTAAATGTTAGCTATTATACCTATTATTTTGAAAAAGCTTTAAAAATGGTACATCCACATTACTTAAATTCAGAAAGAGGAGCATCAATCTCATTATGTTATAACTACTTTCATAACTTTTCTAAGTATTTTTTCACTTGAAATCATTGTATACATGTGTTTTTTTTATGTTGCCTTTAAAAAAAATCATATATAGTGATTGACTTAATCTTTCCTTACTGTTGGACAATTTTATCATGTGTCGCCAATAAAATAGTGCATGATTAAAAATTTGGGATCTTAAGTATCTTTTTATAAGCATGCTCTTCAGAGATGAAGGCTGTTGCCTTTTGTGATGTAATGTCTGTGACTAAGTTGACTTTCTGTTGTGTACTAACAGTTGCTAATGACATTGCCAATAGAAATATGTGTTCATACCATATATTCATACCAGTTGCTTTGCAGTTTGATTGGAGTAGAGTGTTAATCTTATTTAAAATCCTAAGAATGGTTGGTGGCTCATATCTTTAATATAACTGGAGGTATAAGGAAGTGCTGCCTTTGATGAAAACAAAACTCCATACTTTAAGTGGGGCCAAATAATCCCTTCTTCCTATATGAGAGAGACCTGAGCTCCATGCCTCCACTGCACAGAACCTGTTTCAGCAGCATTCTGTTCTACCTCTTGCCTTTAGTTTGCACTTGTTGTTTCCTCTCTTGGAAAAACACTCTTGCTTTCCCACTCGTGATTAACTGTTCTTCATTCTAAAGATCTAGAAAGCCTTCCTTCACCCCAAGACAGATTAGATGCCTTAATAGCATTCTCTACCTTTCTGCTTTTAATGCTTTTAACATACTAAACGGACTGTTTCACTTGTATCCTCATATTAGATGTACCATCAGTAAAGATAGAGAAGGCATATCATATATATAAAGTTTCTGTAACTTTAGCTTTCAGTAAGCACATAAAATTGAATTGAATAAATTTTTGTGTAGTGAATTTCTAATCTCACTATAAAAAGTTCTAGGAACAGAACATTCAAATGGTATTTTCTATTTCCCTTTATTTGAAGTATTCTTAAAAAGGAGAGACAGCAAGTGTATAGAAAGTAGTTGGTTTTATCGCGAGCTGGAATAGGGTAAATATATGATGAAAATGATGTGTGTTACTTCCTATACTTAGCTATTTTATCTCCCTTGCTGTTCCTGCTGCTGCTATTTTAATCCCTGCTAAGTCCTATTTTGAGAGTTCACATTAAAAATGTTCTATCCTTACAAAAAATTTTGACCCTGATTACAATTGGATCTTACAATTTTTTTATGCTCCAGTGAGAATCATTTCTTATTTTAATTCCTTTTTCACTTTTTCAATTCTCATAATGTAGCAGAGATGCTCACTGCAGCTTATTTTATGCTGTAACTTTAGTATAGTGTTATCTTAGTGGTTTGTTAAATCTATAGTATATTTCCATATGTTCTAATGGCAGGGTTGCCAGGTTAAGCCATTATTTCAGTCAAATATAAGAGCCATATTTTGTTATTGTCACTTTTCCCACATACATGAATTTTGAATGATTAGTAGTTGTGCATAATAAAAGGGGCCATTTTTTTAAGCTGCATACTGAAGAAATTATACTAAAAGTATTTTCCTTTTCTTCACTCCTCTCTTTCTAGCCCCTAACACCCTCTAGCCTTCTTCCCTACCCATCCACATCTTAAATCTAAGCTCTTTAAACAAAGGACAATTTTATATTAAATATAACTTGAAGCATTCATTCATGTTTCTAAAAAGATATCACTGTGCCAAAAATATTTCTCTGAAAGTAAAGGAGAGGGCATTGAATTGCAAGGCCATATAATTGAGATGTTTGTCTTATCATGTGTCATTCTCCGCTCTTGCCTTCTCCCACCCCCTAAAAAAAATAAAGAAGAAAAGGGATATTACAGAAAGGAATGCTTTGGACCAGAGGGGATGCAGTTCAACTGTATGTATTTTGCTAACCCTCTGGAGCAAACCACAGGAAATTTTGTAACTTTGTTGGGTGAAAAAAACCTGTTTTTGTTTCTGTGTGGTAGTTTCTGTGCTTTAATGTTTCCTTACAAAACAGTAGGTATTTTTCAGAACTCGTTGAGAAATGGTTTTTAAAAATCATTATTAGATTACTTATCTGGGCTTTTGCCATGTAAGATCACAGTCATTCATTCTTTTTTACAACTCAGTGGACTCTGGATATTAAATTGTTAATTTGTTAATGATTGTAAGAAACTAAACACACATGAGGGTAGCCTTACCCACATTTAAGCAGCATGCAGGATACAGTTTAACTCTCCTGGGTGCAAAGCAATCATTTTTTGATACCTGTGGTTTTAAGGTCCTCCATCATTCAGAAGACCTGAAAGAAAGTAACACATTGATTCCTAAATGATAGATAATTCTCCTCTCTGTACTGTTGGCTGGCTGCACTGCCACTTTACTGTCATCAAGATGATAGTAATAATTTCAAGCAAACTACCAGCTGCATTCCTTTTCTCTACCATCTGGACTTGGCTAGATTTACAACCTGAGAAGTTGCTTATCAGCCAAGTTTCTCTGTATTTCAATATTGTCTAGATCCACTTAGTGGAAAATTGCCTTACTTAACATTTCTTGGTACCTAGAATTTTATTTTCTTTGGTCCTTCTTCCCAAAGTCCTTTTTTGTTCAAAGCCCTGTGGGTAACTGTGCTTAAGGACCTGGATAATGTTGAAACTTTTGCATTAGCAAATAAAAAGTTAATTTAATTAATGACAGATTTATTTAAAATGACTCCAGCCTGAACAGCTATTGTTGCCATCACAAGTAATACTTAAAACTATATTCTGTTCTATGAAAAGAAAGAAATAAAGCCTATTAAAATGATTTATCTTTCCCATCTGCTGCTATATGAATACTAAAACAGAAATCAGTATGGAATTTCTTAATGAAACGACTTATTAGCTGATACTTTTATTAAGACATGATTAGAGTGTCCTTTTCATCTTAGCCTTTTGCAGTTTCACCTTTTTTCATCTTTCTTTCATTGCTCATTCATTATTTTGCAGTTTCAATAGACTTGGTTACTTCAGGAGTAACCAAAGTATTAAAAGAATCTCATACACTTAATTAAATTTATGCTTTTGACATTGACAAACCCTAAAATTTCAGGTACTGAATGATTTAAATCAGTTTCTAAAGCGTTTTACAAGTAAAATCCTTGACTACAAAATTAATATAATGACATTTTAAAACTACCTAAGTATATCCAAATAGGAGATCTGTTACTAACCTGGTAGGTGGTAGGCCTTTAAATAGAGTATTATGAAGATAGAACACTGGATGTGAAGATGATATACAATGGTGGCAGGGGTGGGGGGTGTTGAAATCTGATAGGTGAAAGAAGCAAAATAAGGTACAACGGTGGTGCAAGGGGTCAAGTCTCAGAACAGTGAACTGTCAGCAGCCATTGCAGCATGAGTTTGATCCCCGGCCATGGAGCTGACCTACATGGTGCAGCAGACCTCTCCTGTCTCGCCTGCTGCTCCCCTCAGCAGTGTATTTCAGTAGATCTGCCTGTTCTGCTCCCCACTCTGTCTCTGATGAATCCTCTCACCACCACACACACACACACACACACCCCTCTGGCCTGCATCTCAGCTCTTGTATGCATAAATAAATAAAATAAATATTAAAAAATAAATATAAATGTTTGGAGAATTACTGTATGAAATAGTACATCAGTAAAAGGTATATAGAAAAATTCTTGGCAGGAAATATATCCATAATGCTAACTGAAGATAGATTATTCTTATCTCCAGCCATCTTTCACTTATAATTTTTAAAATGGAGGGAAAATTTATGTCATTAATATCTACAAACCTTATTTAGATGATTTGAAACCATTTACCATAACATAGTTATTTTTTTACTCCATTAATTCTCCAGCAATATTTTGAGTACTGCTAAGAACATTGTTTTAGAGACTGAGATATTAGCAGTGAACAAAATAGGAAGCGTGTGGAGCTCATATTCTTATAAATAGTAAGCATTAAGTTGGTTGGACACATACCTTTAACTGTTTCATTAAGCTTATGTTATATTAAAGCTCACGTCCTTGTTGCCAACTTTAAAGGACGTTTCTTGATTAGTAATATTAAAAATTAGATTTCTACTTATATTTTATATACAGCTTTTGACATAATCTCTGATCACATACGTAGTAGTCCCTTACTAATTGTACAACAATTAAAATCATTCTGTATGCATTTTTAATAATTCTCTTAGCATTTGTATTTGTGGTGGTAAGGGCCCAAAAAGTGCATATCATTCTTCTATTACTCTTTTTCTTACTTATGCTTAAAGAGACCTTGGTGCTCCCCTGGTGTTTATTTTGTTAGCTTGGAATTATGTGACTTTTCTAAATGACTTTATTTTTCTTTTGTAACCTAACAAAAGAGATCCAGATGGAGCACACTTTCTGGAGTTATCTCGTTACCTTCCCTCTCTTTCACCCTATGCACACTTGCCTTTATTCCCTGCTTTTCTCTTCCAGCCACAATGAACTTGTGAGCCAATTTAGTGAATAAGTACCATGTATATTTTCTCTTTGGGCTTTGAATTTTAAGGTCCTCCTTCACCTGGCTAATATCTATATTTCCTGAAGTCTCAACTTAGATGTCATTCCTTCTAACGAATCTCCCCTAACTTCCCGTAATAAAGCTTTTCTTTTATGTGCTTCTAGAGCATGGCATATTTTCTTTTTTCATCAGTAACATGTACATGATATTGGACTGTGTACATATTAAGATATGTAACCATGGCTCTCTGATTACTTTAACCTGTAAGGTCCACAAGGGAAGGGACCTGTCTTTTGTTCACTGTTATATAAACAATTGATATGTAATGATTAAATGCAAATAGAATAGGCTAAATAGGATATTTAAATATAAAAATAGAACATTAACTTTGAAACAAAGCACCCGTTTAATTTTTTTTTTCCTCTCCTGCTTTCATATTTTGGTCTGCATTAGGTGTCATCAATCTTACAGAAGAAGTGCAGTGGATCAAAGTCAATACAGATATGAGTGGCTATTATATTGTACATTATGCAGATAATGACTGGGAAGCACTAATCAAACAGTTGAATGTGAATCCTACTGTCTTGAGTGACAAAGACCGAGCCAATCTCATCAACAACATCTTTGAACTTGCAGGGTAGAGTATGCTTGGTTTGGGTTGAAAACACATAAAAAAATGTTGTTAAAGAAAAGAGCATTTTTTAAAAAGTTAAAACAAATTATATATACTGCTTGTTAGGTACACAGATCATTTTGGAAGACTGGGAAAGATAAGACATCTTTTTTGTCTTCAGGTACTTTATAATCTACTTAGAAACACTTGCTACAAGCATACTATTAATATGTTTTAATATTAAAATATTAAATATTAAATAAATAATATTAAACAAGCTATTAATAGCAAAAATTAGGTTCTCTCTGAAGACCAATACCAACAAGCAGGACATACATATTTTGGTGAATAAATGGATGTAGGTGCTCAGGTTTTGTTTTATTTCATGAGAGAATTCTTTTCAACTAATGGTCTGTTTGAGCATAAAGCTTAGTGATTATACAAGTGAGGTTTTAGGAACATCTCTAGTAGTTAGAGCCTGCTTATTTATGTCTGCTCTCCTCCCCAGTTACCCCGTGTGTTACAGAATCTTAAAGTCAAGAATGGCAGTGACCTTGAGGTTAGAAATCCTCTGAATAGAAAGATTGCCACTTAAACATTGTTAATGGGAACATTCAAAAGTGTTTTTTCTGATAGCCCTTTACCTTCCTATTTTGGTTCATTTTTTAATGAAATGACATATTACTATGGTTTTTCTTAAATGGTTACTTTTAAAAATGAACTCACTTCTGTCACAGTAGACCTTGCCTTAATAAGTTTAACAAACACATTCTAATATGTACAACAAATAAAAATGTATTTTCTCAGTTTCTCTCTTTATGCCTCCTGCTGTCACCTGATGAATATAAATAATAATCATTGAAATTAGTACTCTGTCTTTCCTCACCCAAGATTGCAGTATGTGTCCTAAATCAGTAGTCAGGTGGGAATAGAAGCTGAGCTATTGTTTTGTTTTTTCTGAAATGTATCTGTAACCTTGGCTGGAAAACATGAACTTATCATGTCTGGCTTTACAGAATGCCATTGTGTAAATATAAATATTAGATCTTGAAGACTCATCATCTAACTATAAAGTTTCTTTCTCAGCATGCACAGAGTTTCTGTGTCCCAGCATATCTTATTTCTCTATTCTTTTACCCTTCAGCCTAGGCAAGGTACCTCTTCGGAGAGCCTTTGATTTGATTGAGTATCTTGGAAAAGAGAACTGTACAGCACCCATCACTGAAGCCCTGTTCCAAACGGGCCTCATCTATAACCTCCTTGAAAAACTGGGACACATGGATCTGGCTTCAAGATTGGTGGTAAGTCGGTGTTTTTGCCAACATATTTTTGTATTTGTTTTTGCTATTTACAGTCCCTTTGGGTTGTAATAGACTGAAAAAGGAGCCAGTAAATTCTATTTTCTTTACTTTCCTAGTTGTGAAATTTTACTTTGTCATTGCTTACTATAAAGAATTAATAAAGACTAAGCATAACATGACTGTATTTATATATCAAAATATAGACTCCATGATATACAAAAAATAATTTCTCTATTCAAATCATGGCTTATTTTTATATAGTAAATGGTTGAAATAGACTCTAGTAAAGTAATGCTGTTAATGGTCTAGTGATCATTATAAAAAGTAGTTATATTTGTAATGAGACTATTCCTTTTTAGGAATCTTTATTAATACCTGTCATATGCATGATGATACTAGAGAGTGTTTTTTTCCTGGAGTACAAAAGGAGAGTTAGTACTGGAAGTTGTTTTATCTTTCATTAAATAAAAAACCTGGGCCCTCCCTGGTGGCGCAGCGGGTTAGAGCACAGCACTGAGAATCTGAAGCCGCTTCCGCATGAGTTCGATTCCCGCCTGCCCCGGAGGACACCACATGGCGTGGCAGACCTCTCCTGACCCGCCCGCTGCTCCCCTCAGCAGTGTACTTCATCGATCTGCCTGTTCTGTTCCCCACTCTGTCTCTGGTGAAGACTCTCACCGCCCCTGAGCCTCTGGCCTGTACCCCAGTTCTGTATGCATAAATAAATAAATCTTTAAAAAAATAAAATAAAATAAAATAAAAAACCTGATCTTATTTAGTTGCAGTCAGTAGTATTAAACTGATAACTGAGTCTGTAAAGCTTGGAGGAAGTAAGGAATTCTTTCTTTCATCAACATCTCTGAATTAGCACATTCTGACATCAGAACTTTTGTGGGTTTTTATCATAAATAAGTATTGAACCATATCAAATCCTTTCTCAGCAACAGTTGATTTGATCATGTGTTTTTTATCTGTCCTTTTGTTGATGTGGTGAGTTGATTGATTTTTATATGTTGGACCATCCTTGTAATCCTGGAATTATTCACACCTTGTCATGGTGTGTGATCCTTTTAATGCATTGTGAAATTAGTTTGCTGTGATTGTTAAGATGATAATTCTTAAAGTGTTTCTTCAAGTTTATTCCTTTATATTTATTTTCTTCTTTACAAATTAACATCTTTAAAGCCACTGATTTGATATTTAAATTGATATATTCCACTTCCATAGATTTCTCCAGAATTTTTTATCTCTATTGATCTTTTTATATTCTGCTTTGCCATTGTTTTCTACTTAAAGATTCAATTTCTATCTTCTGTTCATTTTTTTTTTTAAAAAGAATATAGTTTATTTCTAGAGATGTCACTAAGTCTAGGTAATCATTTTTTTTTTTTCATCTCAGTTGTAATCCCTGTGGGCATTTTTTAATGAAATGACATATTACTATGGTTTT